CTCCCAGCCCCGTAGGTGAACTCAGCAAAAAAATCGATAAAAATCGATAAAATCGATATCGATCGATGACGAAAAGTAGCCTATGACACCCGCCGGGGCCCGAAGTGTATGTGTGCCAAGTTTGGTCCGGATCGGTTCAGAAATGGAATTTTCTATTCGGAACATACGTACATACATACATACATACAGACATACAGACAAACAGACATTCAGCTTTATATATAAGATGCATCTCCTATCTCAATGTCGTGCTCTACCAGGTCCGTCTGAGATAACTTCTGATTGGACTGCGAACCCCTCCGCATAGCGTCAGTTTTCGGATGTAGTCCCCCAGCTTACCGCTCGCCTTGCTTTTTTCCAAAAGCTTCACAAGACGCTCTTCTCTATCCTGTACTAGAGAATTTGCTGTCAAGCATGTTACCGTGGTAAATGACAGGTTGCTGCTTCACCAAATTCAGAGGTTCGAACGTTCCTAACTCTTCCCCCTCTCGCAAGGGCTTGGCACCTGACAAACCTTTACTCACTGGGACGTTCAAAGAGCTGGTGTCTTTCCCCAAACCATATCGGGAACTATTTCCACATTTCCACATTGTGATCAGAAAATCCCTTCTTTTGGACTGCCTTTCTGAGTGATAGACAACATATTTGTCTCACCTGATCCGACATACACTTGTTTCGTAGTGGTGACAACGTCCTGTTGTTGTTTCCTTGTATTACTTTTCAACGACTCTACCGTCTTGCGTGCTTTTATTTCCGTACCCCATGTTCAAAAGCGCTGCTCATGTGGGCCAGGGAGAATCCAAGCTTTGACAGTGCAATTGTACCAAGCATGACCATGCCATCCGCACCCGCCATCACAAACACTGCTATCTTCTGCTTCACACCATTTCCCAGCTCACTAAGTATTCCTAACTGCCCCTTAAATTTTATCTGATCCCCAGATGCGTCCTAGACGGGGGCTAGCTGATCTATTGGGATCTCCTCGACGTCAGCATCCAGGTCGAACCCGTTGTACCGCTTACTACCAGCTTCTCTAAGGATATGTTACTCACTTGAGAGCCCGTGTCTACCAGCGCTTTGCATGATAGAACCTGCAGGACATTGTTTACGGATTGCTCCCCTGCAAGCTACCCCAAGCTTGAAGGCAGCGTCCAGGCAGATCTGGACCTACGGGATTTTTACATGGAAAGTACTTTTAGGGCCCTAACTAAGGCACTGCCCAAGCGGCAGCTCAGGTGGTGCTGTAATGGCTGAGATATTCCCCTTGAAACTGGACCCCGCGATCGTATTCGCATCGATTCATGGCAGTTTCACGCCAGGATCCACGCTTTGCGTGCGCCATGAATCCAAAAAAAAAAAGATTTCTGGCGCTTTGCGCCAAAAATCCAAAATGCTGTAAAAATCTTTGTGCGTCAGCAGGCGGTCCTTTCGCGTTGCTTCGGTGGTTCGTGGCTTGTTATGCTCCCACTGTGATGCCCCACTTCATTGCAATTGAACAGCATGGCTTTCGATTTGAGACGTCGCAGGTGTGTTTTCTTGACCTGTGTACCTCGTCTCTTCGTTTTTTTTCAAGTAGATTCCTATTGCTCGTCGTTGCCGTTACTTTCTCTGCAGTCCGTCGCATCGCATTGGCTACTTCTTGGCTGCGTTAACGTCTTTGCCCCATTGTCTTCACTAGCTCATATGCACATTCCCTCGGTGCGATTTCCACGGTGGTGATGAGAGCTGCAGGTACCTGGCCATTTGATTAGTTGATACACTAACTTCACTGCTCTGGTCCTTAAGAGTTCTGCTTCTGATGCATCCGGGTATGCCCTCTGCGTCAGCCTTTCTAGCTCACGGCAATATGATGTAACATCACTGTTCATCGTCAGCGCTTGAGCTGCATATAGGCTGTCGAGTGACACCGTCATGGGCGCCGCAGGTTGAAATCGGCTTGCAAGGCTCCTATGATTTCTTTCAATGTACCCTCAATTACCCTTTTAGGTAGCGTTTCTGCTGCAGACCTTGGAATACGCTCCCAATTTTGAAAGGAATAAGTGACTAGCGTGTCCTCCTGCAATCCTAGCCTGTATATCTTAAACTAGCAAAAATTCTCCAGCCCCCTACCCTGGGAATCCCTGCACGTCTGTCTCTCTACTTCCGGGGGGGGGGGGGGTCATTGCCGCAAATATTTGTGCCATATTTGTAGGAATATACATGTCGAGCCTACCTTACGACTGCCTTGTCGACGAGTTCCGGCTCCGCTTCCGTATTTGTCGTGTTGATAAGTTCCTCTCTGCATGCTGAAATTGAAGAAGGTCGTTCTGATCGTTCGTGCTTTTCACTGTTCCTTGGAACTCGCCTTGGGCTGCCGCAATCGAATTGAATTCGACGTGGTACTCGCCCTCTTCAAGCTCTTCATCGCCTTCTTGGTCTGCGCTGCTTGGACGGGCCAGTTTCTCTTTTCCGATTTAAATTGAGAGAGATTCCTGTTTTTCCAAACTATTATTAAGTGCCTTTATCTATCAATCGTATGGACTCTACTTTCAAGATTTCGGACAACTCTTCTATGCACTTTCTATCACTGTTGCTGCGCTCTACTACGCGAATGAAACTGGAGCGGGTTTGAGACAGAAGCTTCTTTACTGTGCGCAGCTCCTCGCCTACTTTTTCTGGGGCCACAAACTCCGTGCTCACTCCTTCGATTCGCTGCAGGTGCAACTTCGCCTAAATTCACAAGTGTTTCGCTTGCTTTTGCCTGCGCGCGAGTATTCAGATCTGAACTGTCTTCTAACGAAGAAGGCAGATGCTTGAGCGTTTTGATTTTTGATCTTGTCTTTCATGCTCAGAAACAGTGTTACCTGCGCTTCATCCTTTTTCGCAATTTCTCATACTGTCGTGGCCAGCTCCTCGAGCGTTCCCCTCATGGACGGCATATATTCGGCTGGACGGATCATTCAATAGCAACTTCTCGATCTCCATCTCTTTATCGGAGTGTTCCATGTTGTGCAAAAAGGATATTTCTCTACACTTTGGTAGAGATGAAGAACTGAGCGATTATGCCTATGCAGGTGAATCTCCTATCCTTTGTGTATACTTCCCTTAGCCAGGAGGGCTTCTATGTACTCCACGCGCGCCTCTGTGCTGTTTTCCATGTGGCGCCAGAGGTGTACCGATGACATTCCTTCCTGGCTGGTTCGGTGAGGAGGAATCGATGGCACAGTGCCAAAATTCCATCCACTTGCTCACTCCGGAAGGTCTACACCGTTTCTACTGGACCGGATACATGCCTACACTCAGGCGGAGGGATGGGATTCCTTTTGTTCGGTCCTCATGTGGCGCATCAACTGGGTTTGCTGATGCGTGGGCACGATGTGAGGAAGACGAGAATAAAAAAAGAACTATATCAGCAACGACAATAACTACTGACTCAATAGGGCCGAGCTGCGCTATATGTAACCCGCGTGGTAGATCAAAAATTCCCAATAATTAATGTAGCGCTCCTCTTGTCGGCTTCCATGTTTGACATACGCGCAGTTTAGCCATATCGCCTAGACGCTGCCTCGTAAGCTGATTGAAAGTGGCTTATTCAGTAATGTATACCTCGGTTATTCCGGCAAAGTTTGCGACACGACCTTCTATTAAGCTATTATATTTATAGATTCTTGCCTATGATAATCTTATATACAAAGCTGAATGTCTGTTTGTCTGTCTGTCTGTCTGTCTGTCTGTATGTCTGTATGTCTGTAAGTGTGTACGTATGTTCCGAATAGAAAATTCCATTTCTGAACCGATCGGGACCAAACTTGGCACACATACACTTCGGGCCCCGACGGGTGTCAAATTTTGCAGAAAATCGATAACATCGACATCGATCGATAACAAAAAGTGGACTGTGACACCCGCCGGGGCCCGAAGTGTATGTGTGCCAAGTTTGGTCCGGATCGGTTAAGAAATGGAATTTTCTATTCGGAACATACGGCGGAGCTGGGTAAGCCAGCTAGTGCGCTTATACTTTTTGAATACTCTGAGCAGCTCTGGTCCACTTATACATGGGTCCAAAAGTAAATGATAATTTATCTGTCTCGGGTGTACTGTGATGTAATTATATATCATTTTTGCAATAAATCTGAAATATTCTCATCTGTTCCAATAAGAAATATGCTAAGCAGGTAATGGTCAACTTAATCCAGCCATTTTCAACAAGCTGTATATCATAGGACCCGTCTTCAAATGCTTATTTTAAATATGTCTTTTACAAGCCAAACGACTATCTGCGAGGAGTTATGAGCGTTCAAATATGAGAAGTTTTTTGAGTTTCGACGAATATATTCCCTTGAAAGGCAGCATGATGACGGGGATTTACATTGACTATGGTTATTTTGATTACAAGAAAGAAGCACATCCACCATAAACCTAAATAGGTGTTTTTGAGACCTATTTCGTGGAACATGCGCCATAGAACACGACAAATCGCACATTCAAACCTTCATAACTCCTTCCAGATAGTCGTTTGGCAGATAAAAACATGTATCTGAAATCAGCGTTTTGGTTCGATGATGTACAGCTTGTTTGCAGTGGCTGGCTTGAGTTCTGACATTTCCTGTTGAGCATTGTGGGTCAGATCATTACAACTTTGGATCGAAAATTAATTTCCAAGAAAGAAAAGCTTTGAAGAAAAGATAGTAGGCATTGTTCGGTTGTGCTTGAATCTTCGCATGATAATCACTTGTAGACAGTCACCCAATGGAGAAAAGCTGGAAAGTGCGCCTTGTAGACCGCTGGCTCCTGCTCAACATGCTCATAATATAGTGTAGAAGCACTTGCGCATAGTTAAACTGCTTGAAATCCAGTGCAGTGGAACTTCGGGATTTGAAGCTTTCTTTTAGACTAGGTTCCCATCCCGAGTTCGGGATGTCAAGCATGCGGCCCTTAGAGAAATGCAAAATTTGCATTAAAAATAACACTTTCAAATCCTACAATTTTTTGCTTTTAAAAGATCACCATTAAAATTGCAGGCACGAACTCAGATGCAGCAAGTCAGACAACTTCCACAATTAAAAGAGCACCATCAAAAGCTGGAAGTGTGATATCGTCATCAGAAAGAGAATCTGTCTCAACAACTGCGTCTGCGGGATCTTTGACTTCATTTGCAGCGTCAACGAATTCGTCTACAAAGAATGGCGACGTTACAGAAACAAAGAAAACTCCGAAGGTACTGTATAAGATTTTGACTCCTGTTTTACGGATATTTTTCATAGAAACGGAGTTACGAAAATTCTGGAAACTTGTGTGGTGTAGTTGAATAGTGTAGTTGCATCGCAAGTTCCTATTTGATGTATCTTTGATCAGTATTTGAAAGTTCTGTCATCGACCATTGCGCTTTCATCATGCATCCATCTAATTCGGGACACTTCAAAGTCAGGGGGAGGAGCGGTGAGGGGGAGGGGGAGGGGGGGGGGGGGAACACCGTAGGTTCCAAGAAGCCAACTATTGAGGAACCTACAACCTGTATCGTATAGCTTCAAACAACATGTGGCGCGAAGCTATTAGTGCTATGTCCGCACAATATATAGAATTTGCTGCATACCTGTAAACAGCTTAAAGGCATCGTACACCCAAAATTTCGTCCTCCATGTTTTTATGATTACCGGGCCTTCCCTGCTGCTGAATTCGAATATGAGGTGCAACTTACCAGAAAGCTCCAAAATTGCCCCTTTTTGAAGTCCTACATAATTTGGCAGACGTGGACAAGTGCTCCGCCGCTAGTCACGTGGTATGCTACAGGAAACTTGTCGTGCAACAGTGCCACATCACAAACTATGCGTCTCGACGTTGCTTGTCATGTCAGAACTCGTCACGGGGCAATCCGGTGGGTGGAGCTCAAAAAAGAGGGCGGAGCGCAAAGAATCCTGTTCGTTATCCCCCTTTGTAGGCAACATTAGGGGACCGGACCGACGCGGTTGAGGCCTGCTAGTAGGAGAAGTAGTAATCGGGGTGAATAGATTTTGGACTAGACTCTAGGGTCATCGATCCGTGCGCCCATTCAATCACCTTTTCGGAAAATTGGCCTGCGGGTCTGGTTCGCGGATTCTCGACTCATATTTGAAATCAGGGACATGAAGGCCCCGAAATGATAAAAACATGGAAATCGAAAATCTAGATAGACGGTGCCTCTAACGTATACCCGCATAGTTTGCGAGCAAGGTTTGAAACAAATCTGAAAGTTTTCAACTGCTTCAAGAATCCGAAGCGGAGACGAGGTGGAGGGAAAAGACGTATATGGCCGTCATACCGTAATCCTCTAATAAGGGTGTTATTCTGAGATGAGGTTCAACGCTGAATATCCACTTATTCGGGTATCATTTCCTGCAAACAAACTTCAATTTTTTTTTGTTTAGTCATTGCAACAATTCCCCTACTGTCAAGTGCTCTGAAGCGCTCTTTGTAAAACGGATAAGCACCACATATCGCACCATCTCCCTCTCGTAACAGTAGCTCTGCGGGAACTTAATTTAGGCCCGTATGCACGTACATCCCCGCGGGGAGGGGATGTGCGTTTTACCAATGAAATGATCCCCCCCCCTCGCCACGCGAACTCCCATATGCACAAAGACAATATTGGACAAGGGATCTCCTGTGGGGAGGGGAAGTGAACTCCCTTATGCACAAGAGGGGATCAAGCGCTGAGATCACCTTGTTACCAAATTTTCTATAAAAAACTCTTTCTTTTTCTCATCTTTTGACTGCAGCTCATCTTCATGTCCTCAATTTCAATAATTTAGGGTTGCGTAATGCGCGTACGCAGTGACTGCGCTCGGCGCACCAAAAATGACTTCTTCTACTTTCACGATGTTCCTGCTTTCTTGGATGCTGCCCACTTTCGCTCATGCTGCCCCATTTCAGCGTAAAAATGTGAACTATAGAAGTCAAGGTGACTCTGCACGAGAATGAATAGAAGGCGTTATGCTGCCGAAAAGGGGGGGGGGTGCCGCGCGGAATTCAAAACAGTATTTTAACACATAACAGAGGCTGCGAATCGTACCAGCACTCCATAAAGGCTGCAGCTATTACGATATATCGTCCGTTACCCCAAGGGAGTGAACCCCAGCGGTCATCCTGCTATGCACGAGGGGAACACTGGGGAGGGGATCACTTCCCCGGAACTCTCTACTCAGAAATAGGCCAATCTGCTAATTTTTTGGTTTTTTTCGAAGCAAATCATGCTGGGATAAGAAGATAAGGGCAGCATAACATATGATATGATAGTTACAATGTGTTCGAGTTCATATGAAAACTGCGAAGAGCTCGGAAATGACCAGCTTTGAAAAAAAAATTTTCATCAAATTAAACGAAATGCTTTGTAGTTACTGATTAGAACCAGAACATTCGCTTCTCTGGCAAGAATTACACCGTTGAACCCCTACCTCGCTGCAGGGAATGACGATCCCCTCCCCTGCGTTGTTGAGTTACATTCATGCATACGAGGAGGGGAAGGGAAGGGATCCCCACTGGTGTTCGTTCGATCAATACCTCCAAAACCAAATGCTAAATCTGAGGTAGCGAGACAGTACCGCGAACTCTCTAACGCTGGGAACCACGGAAACTACAAAATGCTGCGAAGCACATCGCCACAACATAATTGCAAGAAAATCTTAACATCAACTGCTAAATAGACACACCCTACTTCAAAAATCAACATTATTATTATTGACAGCACGTAGCGAGTTAACGAAGCTATAAAATCAGTAATAATACGGAGAACAAAAGAGCGAAGGAGGGAGAGATAAATGGGAAGGGTGGAGAAGAGTGAGAAAGGGGGGACAAATGGACGCGAATACTATTTTTGTACATTTCGTTTCAAAGGCCATTCTAGTACTCACAAGAATTGACCAAAAATAACTTTTTCGGCGAGTTCTTGTACCCTATTTTCTGTATAAGCCGTACCCTTTTCGCTTCAAAGGCGAACACGCCAAAAGACTGACTGTCATCATGGAGGGCGTTAAGTGAGAGCAGTATGCGATAAGGCGACCGCTTCGCGAGACATATGCGCGGCGACGCCTGGGTCTGCTCGCGTTTAGAGCAAAAAGGGTGCCGCTTATACACCTGAAAATAGGGTAGTAGCCGTGAGGTAGAAGCGACTACCGCAAGCACACCATCCCCGCTGTAAGTCCAGGGGAAGGGGTCGCTCTCCTCCCTCTGTTATAGCGGGGTTCAGTGGAGGGGATCGTTCCCCTGGGGATCTAGCTCCCCTCTCCTCCCCAGCGGGGATGTACGTGCATACGGGCTTAGGTTATGGTATTCTATAATAGCGCCATTGATACTTCTATTAACGAAAAATTAACAAAGACTGCTGCGCTTGCCACCGACACAACGAGGACTTCTGTGATCGGGAAGGAAACAGCTAGGCCATCTGCTAGCATTGTTAAATTCATGGAACGAAGCGCTTTCCCATCAAGGATCCTCACAGGTAATGATCATATCTTCCAAATGTAAGCTTAAATGTGCGTGTTTACAGATAAGGAATTCGATGACAAAATGGCAGAAGTTCGCACTCTTGCAGGGAAGGTTGACTCAAAAAAATTGATTACGCTATACAGTGAGAAGATGCTGACTGTGAGTCCGAGCATTCTTGGAAAATTCCTCTTTATCAGTGATACTTTTAGAATTACTGTGAGACTTGCTCTGTGAAATGTCAGGGCCCCACCACTATGTTAGCCCATTTCGTCTCAAGATATCATTGCGACACGGTAATGATCGGAAACTTATTTTCATCATGCTCCCTTCCTTTTTGAGCGTCAAAAGTGTAAACCGCTAAATTGTGCTTTGGTGCCCGCGAAAATGTCAAAAGTCTCTTTTTGGCTATGAAAGTGCGGAATAGGTTTTTGCCTCTTGTCTATCAAAAGAATAACGATTCTTGTAAAGCAAACCAGTCGCCGAATTGGGAGGAGAAAATGGCCCACATTTTACTCATCTATGTGTGTGGCGGTAGGCTTAAAGGTGGGACAGGGATTCGGTGGATTCATCTATGTTGACAGCGATGTAGTAGTCTATATCGGGTATCGCAGTTAGTAGATCTATAGTTTGGGAGAGCATCTGGAATGAAAGGGTTGACTTCGAGCATGCCCATTCCGCACAATCAAAAAGTGTATTTTGCAGCTTTGCATCTTTGTACATAGGCTCACCTCATCCAGAATATGCTCAAAAATGGAGGAAAATCTGAGGTTGAGAATTTATCCGGATAATGCGTCTGAGCCCCATTCTCTTCCTAGGTGCGAAAGAACGGTTTCAAAGCCACCGAAGATGATCTGTTGCTATGGAAATCTCAGATATTTGCGGCTATGAAGTGAAAGCACATAATTCCAAATCATACTCATCTTGTTCTATCTGTGAATTCACTTATGCATTTGTGGGTACGACTGAACCGGGTTTTCCTTTTGGGCTTCTTATGTTCTCGTATTCGCTGGCATTTCTTCTTGATGGTCGATTCAGCAAGATTAGTTGTCACCCTTCACTTACTCAAATTCTGATTTCCGAGGATCTAAAGTCTGGTTGTCTCAACTGCCTAACAATGGAAGGATACCAACATAAGTTGATCATTGAAGACGAGATATGTATCACTGGATGCGTCTTCAAACGCTAATTCTAAATCTGCTTTTATTTTGCGGAACATCTTTCCGGAAGAAGATATAAGCATTCGAATGTCCAAATTTGTCATGCTCTAAGTGACCTAAAATTAGCGAAAACCTGTACAAAAACATCTGAAAGGGTAATTAATTTTGATTTTTTTCATCAAAAGTATTGTCAGCAAGGAAGGAACAAAGCGTTAGTCCGCATAGGTGTTTTTAGAGCTTTTCGCTGGTTCTAAGCCACTTGATATTTGGCAAAATTGGACATTTAACGTTCATAATTCCTTTCGGAGAATTGCTTCGCAATAGAGGGAAGCAGTTTGGGAATCAGCGTTCGGAAGCGCGTCTACTGGTGTAATACCGTCTTTAACAGCCAACTTATGTAGGTGTCTTTCCCTTGTAAAAAGTAGACATACTTTAGAGAAGTCCTCTTCATTGTTCCTTTGATTCCAAGCATCATCTGATCTGGTTTTTTCTGCAAGTCCTCAGAATCATGTTCACCACGATCACTTATCTTATGCAATAAAGATCATAAATATGAAAGAAAATTCTTTACCCTGTACGAGTTCATTTGAGTTCGATGGCAAAGGCGGACACAGATTGACGTGTGCTTCCCTCCTCCTTCCCTGCTTAAAGGCAGTGTCCGGACAAGGTGGGGGTTTTGGGATCTCAGTGCCGTACGAAAGTGCCCCCCCCCCCTCAGACACACCATCGCGAGTACGAGGTTATAACGTTCGAACTAAAGCAAGAAAAACGATCGGGAAGTGAACTTAAGCCTTAGGGCGGGGTCTTCCAACCTGTTTGAATTCCTGCTATGTGGCAGAGCACGCATGCGGCCACAGTCAAATCGTAGGTTTCCGCAGCGATCTGCGTCTCAGCTGGCGGGGACCGTCGAATTTAAATTGTGAGGCTTTGGAAAATGCATGCTCTTGCCGCTTCGCACCTTCTAATGCGGATTTTCGGATTCACCGTTGCAGAAACATCCGGTAAGTGGATTCTCTAAAAATCGAGCTTTTGCTCGGACAGCATAGAAGGCACCGTCCACCCAAAATGGAATCTGTGAGATTTCGATGCCTAACAGTTGCGGGCACTCAACCGTATAACTGCCCAAATCGCGCTGTCTGAAGTTGCTTTCAAAGCGAGAACGCTTCGAAAAATCTTCGAAAAAAAACAAAAGGCGAACTCGCCACGTTGGTTCCTCCCTAGCAAGTGGGCGGTACATTCGTCCCGCCCATTCAGAGTTTTCGCCTAGCACGCGCGAAGATCAAGAAATCGATTGAATCATGCGAGAGAGCGTCTCTACCCTGCGATGGCCCGCGGCTGACTGGTGGCGCAAGGAGTGCTCGTCTACTGCGAATTTGGAGGGCATCTGAAACACAATAATTTGAGAATTTCGTTGAATTTTAGGTTTGGATTCGGACTCAGCGGGCGCAAGAGGTGGTAAAAAGGACAAAAACTCAAAATTGAGGATTTGAGTGGACGGTGCCTTTAAGTACTTTGGCACACACACGACTGACGTCGCCTTGGTCTTGCTCACCATCTTACTCGTAGTATGGATCTCAAAAATTGAGTTCCTTGGTACTTACAAGGGAAGGATACCGAATTGAGTCGCCGATTGAAGACGAGATGTGTGTCACTAGACATGCCTTCAAACGCTGATTCCAAATGTGCTTTCCTTTTTTGCGGATCTACTCTTCGGAAGACGTCATGAGTTTTGAATCAAGTTCAACATTCAAACGTTTATAACTTCTTTCAGAGAGTTTCCGCAGAAATGGAATGCAGATTTGAAGTAAGCGTTCGAAGACGCTTCTAGTGATTCACATCTTGCCTTTGATCTCAGCTCAAGTTAACATCCTTCCCTCATAAGTAGTGAACACTTGGCTTTAACAGCACACGATTGATGCTAGTTTCGAATCAGTTGAGTAAGGCACATGTAGCACGAAAATTACAGAATGCAGCCGAACGAAAGCGCAAAATCTATGGAGACGCAAATGTGTTTCACGCATATACGTTATACTTGCAGAGCGCATAAGGCGCAGAGTTCGCGACGATGAAGATACGCGCCCACCGCCTTCGCGCCTGCTCACCCAATACGCACCATTGTCCGGCGGTAGCACGCTCGGTGAAGAGATGACACGTTTGCAACGTGTATGTTACGATATGGCGCCAAATCTGTGTCGCGCAATCTATATAAATGAAGCTGAAGGTCGTTTGTCTGCCTGTTGCATGTATGTACTAGGCTCCAAAGGTTCTGTCCTATTTCCGGACTTTCTAATCAAAAATATTTTAACTCTCTTTAAAATCAACGTTTTTGCACAAATCAAATCTTGTTGGATTAAGCGAGGGTACGTCTATCACAACCACAGTATACCACGTAAAGGAATCAAGCGGGAGAGAAGAGAAAATTTGAAGAATTTCGCCAAGTTTCTTTTAGAACCATCCACTTTGACGTACAAATGCTTTCATATAAAGATAAGCGGACATATTTGGCTGCCACCATTGGATAGCTTAAACGGAAATCTTTTATGGCTAGAGAGAATTCGAGCTATTTTTGCTGCATAGAAATTTTTACGAGCAAATCAAAATAATTCTTTATCCTCCTCCGCGCGCGCAAATAGGTCGACATTGTAATATTCGATTTTTTCTTGCTGTCGCGAACGAAGAAAGTTAACTGGCAGATAGTTCTCGCCTGCCCTCGCTTTACTTTATCATCAAGCATTATTAAGTAACCGTTCGCTATACGTAGATTGCTCTTAACTTTTAAATAACTGAGTTTGTCTTCCACCTTTGAGAAAAACCTGAAAAAGTAAGACTTTTGTTCAGTTGGAGGTAAAGTGTGCGTATGTTAGCCCATTACACCCTGACCCATTATAAATTATTAATAATTAATTTTACGAATACTGCGGAAATTCTCTCTTTAGAAACTTTTTCTTGAGCATGACTGCATTTTGGCAGCTTGGCTTCGCGGCTTGGAATTTGTCAATGGGAAGATTTTTCGTAAAACATCAGTAAGCACTGGAAAGAGCAAAAAAAGCTCAGGCTTATCAGTCTTAGAGTTGGACGCACCTCGACGCTGCCAAAGTCTTTCTCATGATTGACGAAGATTAGGATGTGAAGCAGGCGGTACTCCCGACTGACTTTGACTCTCGGACTTTGGAGGCAGTGTCCGGCGAGTTACTTGGGATGGGCCCCGGCGCGAACGTTGTGTCAACGTGAGACTCATTTTCGGGTTACGGTCACGGCACAAGCGGGGAGGATTGGGACGGTTTTCTCCGCCGTGAACGAATCATTCGCGTCGCCGTTCGGGCAGCACCTTAGTTAGATCCTCCTCATCACTTTTCAAGCATGGCTCCATGCGCCTACGTTTGCCTTGAGATGCCTTCGATCGCGGTACGCAGCAGCTAAAAATTTTAGTGGATGTCACAATGCTAATAACAGGCCTTAACACGAGCGTTGATGAGCGAAGATGTTGATATAAAATTGTTTCTAGCTTTCATCTTATGTCGGGGAGAAATCGGAGTCTTGTCTTTCTTCGTTGATGATTCCAGCGGTTCTTGTCTATTGGCGGGCTTGAGCCTTCTCGTGTTCCTTCACTGCTTCCAGTATCTTCGCTTAATCTTCGTATGAAGCTGTTCTGCAGCTGCCGTTCGCTAACGGTCGCTCAAGACAAGTTGCGTTCAAATTCTGTTTCTTTTCCTTCTCACGGTTATACCTTGGGGTCAAAACGTTCCGAATCTCTTGAACTGTTCAGAACCACATACGCGAGTCTTTTTGAAAGCCAGTCCCGGTCGTACGTTGGGTCTTCGATGTCACAACTAGGTAAAAACTCTTCTAGCATGTGAACACCTTCCTTCTTGCGGGCTGTCACAGATCTTCCTTTCTAGCTTCAACCAAACCATATTTCCGCTCGACGAAGATAATGAGTGTTTGGAGTTGCTGTAGAAAGTATGAAGTCAGCGAAACATGCAGCAGACTCTATTATTGTGTGTCGTCCGATTTCCGTGTCTTTTGCTCTTCCCTAAAAGATAGAGTTTTTATGGAAAGTCATGAAAACCCAACAAGAGGTATCCATTTTTTTGGATATTATATTCGATTTTTTCGATCTTGCGGACCGCTTTTAGTAGCGTTTCCGTTAGCGTTGAAGGCCAGAAATGAAGGGAAGGACTTCCTGTTGCAATCAACATTTTCATTCCTTCGCGGAGCGTGCAATTCTGATGCAAGCAGCAGCTGTGTCTTCTGATGTGGAGGGCGTAGACGTAGGATGACCAGTCATGGTGATTAGATCTCTTGCGAATTGACAAGATGGATGATATTGGGTAGAAGACAAGACTGACACCTCCAAGCTGTGATGGAATCTTCTTGGATGATGAGGATCGCATCAAAAAAACTATTCCATGTTCTTCGTTCTTCCCGGTCTTCGTTTCCGACAAAGCAATGATATTGCACGTGATCTGCCCTACAGCTTGACAAGTGCGTGGAGGTCGCCGTTTGTGGAGACTGTCCTGCCGTTTTAGGTGCAGAACATGAGGCAGTCCTTTTGACTTGTCGTCCGGGCAGACCTGTCGTCTTTGTCAGACCCTAACTAACATCGTTCTTACTACCGCACGTCGCTGTAGACGTGATCCAATGTGCAGGGCTTCTTTTCTTTTCTAGCTGGTAGAAGAATAGATTTTTCACCTTACAAGAGCAGACTTACTAGGTTTACTCTTGATTTCCACGGGGCGATCGCTAATTCAGGTACGGGCCGGACCGTTTGGCGGATTGAAAAGTCAGATGGCGGGGGAACTTATATAACTGAGCATCCGGTCGAGACCGGATATGAGCGCCTCTTTCACAGCTTGGAAGACCCTACCCAAGTATGCAGCTCAATTCGACGCTCAGGGCTAATCCCACGCCGCGATGAGGCGTTTGACCATAGTGGGGTTCTTGATTTACTGACCCCCCCCCCACTATGGTCCGTCTCTTGCTTTATAGGTGACAAAAAATACGACAACTGCATACGTAAATATTTGATGTGTAATCTTATATATAAAGCTGAATGTCTGTTTGTATGTATGTCTGTATGTTTGTATGTCTGTCTGTATGTACGTATGTTCCGAATAAAAATTTTTATTTCTGAACCGATCCGGACTAAACTTGGCACACATACACTTCGTGGCGGGGCGGGTGTCATAGATTACTTTTCGTCATTGATCGATATCGATTTTATCGATTTATCGATTTTTTGCAGAGTTCACCTACGGGGCTGGGATGTGGCACAGGGCGATAAGTGGGCATGACGATTCTGAGTACAGTATTAGTTTTTGAAATCGTCCATTAGTTTTGTCAATTTTATCGATTTTTTTTGCAAAGTTTGAGCTACGGGGCTGTGAGTTGGCACGGGGGGGGGGGTAATTGAGCATGCTGATCACGAATGCAGTAAGTGTTTGTGAGAATATCCATTACTTTGTTTTTCTTAGAACCTCGGACTAGAAAGGTGTAAGTTGGTACTTGGCTACGCTGAATCAAACGAGGTAATCTTTATTTCTCATCCTCAATCCTGCA